GCAGGAATAAGCTCTCTCCTCTGAACACCACATTTCAAATCAGTATGAACTAAACATTTTCTCTGCACTTTTCCATAACCAATAATTATGTCACTCAAGAACATGAAGCTCTAAACTATGCACACGTAACAGACACTTCTACAGTCAGTGAGGCCTGAGATAAAGCTGTCTGATCTCTTTTCACCAGCAAACTACGAATTTAACCTGAGGCAACAAGTGCCAAATCCAAAAACTGAATCGAGCCTCTGCTCAGCTCATTTCTAGATTGTCCAAATGTTGACTCAAAATACTAAAAGCTGTCTTGACACAAGGACAGTGTTAACCCTCTGTACATGTTAACTTTCATAGCATGTACATACATTTTTTATCACCTTAGAGGCTTCATGAAACCAAACCCAAGTAGAACAAGATTATGGTGATCTCTAATAAAGCTAAGTGCTTCTTTTGTATTCTTTCAGCCAACACTGACCTGCTGCTTTCAGGAAAAGCTATCTTCTCACAAAAAAGTCACACAGGAGAAACAGAGCATATAATACACTAGTGTCTCAAAATTATTTTTTCTTTGAGGGAACAACTTTGTTCCCAGCACAAAATGGCTAGTAAAAACCTACTAAGATTCTTTTGTGAATCTTAATTGAGAGTGTGACCCCATAACAGGCTGCACAGAGAACCTTACATATCAAATATATTTATTAAGTCTATACAAATGCAAATTATGGAATGTACCTTCTGTTTTAATATCATCCAATTTAAGACAGAAAGCAAACATTAGACTGCTCTCATTTGTGTGGGCTTCTCCCCCCGGAGAAACAAAGACATGAGATACATACACTTACATACTAATATACTTCATCATATTGAATATGATTGCAAAGCATTAAGGAATCAAGCTTAAAATAAGGAAGAAAATAAATCTGAAACATCATCGAGCACTGAAAATTTTATAGTAGTATTTTTTTTTATTAAAAGTGTTATTTGTGAAGATATAATACTTAAATATATCATGAATATTCAATATTTTTTGGAAGTGATTTATTTTAGAATGCCAACATTGCAGTTTACCATTGCAATATTCCATTAGGAAGACAAATTAGATCGAGTGCAAGCACAAAAAAATTTATTGGTATGCAGCAAGTTCCAGCTGGAAAGCTTCAACTGTGTATTTACAAAAGGACCCACATTCCTGTAAAAACATCATGTCTGCCAAATGAACTACCTGTCTTCAGAAAGAAAATATCTATTAACCAGGAATTAAAAACCAAAACAACACCCTGACTTAGAGAATTAATTATAAACTTGTTTGACACAACAGTCCCCTAATAATTGCTCTAAACCAAAAAAGAATTAATATGATCAGAGTTGAATGTAGGAAGAATTATGCTGAACAGTGAGTTGCATTATATGTCTAAAAAATTAATATATAGTGTACAATAGTCTGCTAGGTAACAGTTCTCTAATACCTTGATCTGCATTCAGCTGACATTTAAAAAGGAATTTTACTAAGACTTGCTAAAAATCATCAATTCAATAATCACTTTAGGAGATGAAACTTCTCTTGTACTCTTGATGGCCTACAAGGATGAATTAGACTACCTGCAATGCTTTCAAGTAGACAACTGCAGATTTATCACCAACTGCCTTTGGTTAGGAAGCACACAGACAAAAAGGAAGCCATGACATAAGCAGTCTTTCCTGTCAATCACCAAAAGAAATCAACAAAGAATTTTAAAGGGTATGCATTAAAACAAGTTCTCTTATACAGTTAATTCTGTAGAATACACTAAAGCAGCAAAAAAAAATTCTCTCTGATGATGCAAAAGAGCTAGTTCTGTCAATAGCTACCTTCATGATTAAAGTCTGATCATTGTTCTAACACTCAGCTTCCAAAAACACCAGGGACTGACTTGAAAAATAAAATACGTAACTCCAAAACTAAAAACTTAATCCTTGCACCACTTTTACAAAGGGCCACACATTGCAGCTTAAGTGAAAGGGTTTTTTAAAACTAATTTATTTCTACGTAGTAATCCCTCCAGTAACTTATTGACACTTCTAAATTCAAACAGAAGTGTTACACATATTTTAAAATTAATCTAAAAAAAAGATCTTCTCTAACTTTCTAAACTGAGGGGTTTTGTTTCTTGGTTTTTTTTTTTTTTTTTTTTTTTTGTGTTTTTCTTTTTTTTTAAAAATCTACATCAAAGTCTAACACAACTATAAACAGAGAGGGCTACATATAGAAAAGACACACATTGCATTCATTTTATTATTTGGAGCAAAGAATTACATCCTGCAGAACATCTCTATTACTTTGAAATAAAGAGAAGAAGAGAAAAACAAAGGTTTGTCATTTTAAACTCACACCAGAAACAGCTAAGGGAAACTCCATTTTGGGATTTAATTCTGGAAGTTCAACTCAGATAATCCAAAACATTGAGGACAGAAGAGAAAGCAATGACTTGTCTTATTAGTGGCATCTAAAATTACCAAGTCTTTGTTTCCAAAGCACTGTTTATTCTGTAGAGAAGAGACAGTTGACCACATCTATGAAGTAAGCCTGGCATAGCACTGTTTATTCTTTAGAGAAGAGACAGTTGACCACATCTGTGAAGTAAGCCTGGCATAAAGAAGTCCACAAGTTGCCTGTTTTGCATCCCACCTCTGAATGACCTTCCCTAGCCCACTATCTTCATCCAAATCTCCCTTAGAAACCTTTACAGTACACAAAACCACTAACCAACATTCACTGCAAAATCCACCACAAACAGAAGAGCTTTACAAATTCCTGTTTAATATTCAGATTAGCACTGTTTTGATTGTCTTTCACTTGACAGATTTTCTGTGCCCAACACTGAGAAATAAAAGAGGTAGCCCAACTTTTTTGATGCTCTGAATACCTACTGCTCTCAGAGCACAAATGTTTTATTTCTCAGAATTTTGCATTTTCTAGCCATCACAACTTTTCCACTGCTGTAGTGCTAAGGTAACTGAGTCAGTCACCAAGGACTTAGTCCTTAAAAAAAAACACCACCCAAATTTGACTCTCAGAAGCAAATATTGCGCATATAAACAGACCAACCTGAATCAATCCACCCTGTGAAACACATCTGTGGTTTCTAAAACAACCACATGCAGAAGTAAAGACAACTAGCCATGTGCTAATAGGTGTTAGCAATTTGAAATGGCTAATGAATTAAATGCCTCCTGAGAATGCAGGTGTAAATGCCTCCCGTCTAATGAAGGCAGCTTTTCAGAATTAAAACATAATTGTAACCAGGACTACTATTGAATTATTTTTGAAGCAACTGAGATCAATTTCAGGAGAGCAGGTGGCCTGAACATCTTATGCTTACACTCTTTTTCATTAAATCACAGTATTTTCAACAAAGTAGGCCATTTGTAAGAAGAAATTCTTTCACTGAATATCTTTTCTTCTGCTCTTAGGTCTTAAAACATTCCTGTTGCAACTATAGTAATGAGATGAAATTTTAGCTCTAGTGTTGCTCCTTCACAAAAGAACCAAAATGGTGCAATTTGCTTCCCACTGTCCACCATCACCCAGCTATTCATAAAGTTTATTAAAATGCAAAGCAGATATTGAATAAAAGTTGAATTCAGATTCCTATGGGAGGGAGCACAGAAAATAAGTAAGAGTTTGTTAGGACAATCACATTAATAAGCAGGGACAAGTTCACTTCATAATATTAACTTATCAGACTGATTTTTGCAGGAGGTAAGAGAGACAGTGTATTACATTTAGTTGACCTCAAAATCTTTTTTTCACATGCAGTATAAACTTCTATTACAAATATTGTAAGATTGCTGAAAAATCTCTATGTAAGCAGTATTGTGTTTAACCACCAAGTGTCATCCGCTGTGACAGAGTATGAAAACACCTTTTACAAAATTTTCTGACTTCTCTAAGATTCATTGAATTAACATGTATTCTACAAATAAACAAAGAATAGCTGATAATTACAGCTTATATGCACCTTAGGCATACTTAAAAAAAGCACCAATCTAACACTGTTATCCTGTCCAAACTAATAATTTCAGTGCAGAAAAGAAACACTGCTTCAGATTCCAGCTAAACCAATTCTGCAACAGATAAAATAAGTGTGACAAGATTTTCATTATACTATTGTTTCACAAGATAACCAGAAAATGCAAAACAGATTTTGACAAGGTTCCAGTGTCATTATTTTGCCTTCAATGAATACACAAATTTTTGGGAAATAAAACAGACATGGTGGTTCGGCATGAGTAACTAACAAATATTCGAAGAGTTATTTCATGAAAATGCTAAATAGTAATTCCTTTCCCTACTTTTGTATTAAAGCATCACCTCACTCAAGCGAAATGCAAAGGTTAAAAA